GTGGCATCTATGTGGACACCACTTGTTTTGGTTGGTACTCCTTTTATCTTGGGCTATTGTGTAGAATATGTTCCCATTTATCTCGTACCCTTTGTATGTGACGATATGCCATGATGGTTGCATAGCCAATAAATCTGATTGCTCATGGATGCTCTCATCACCTTGACATTTTTTTTTCGCAACCAACCGCTGAAAGTTTCCATGTGCTTATGCATAATCCAAGCTTCAGTCTTCCACGAAACTCGGATCGTAAGAGATCCTTGTGTGTCTCAATATACGGATCTACCAAAGAGGAGTTTCAGAGAAGCTGTGTAGTGCGCTTTATTGAAATAATCATCATCTGTACCAATATATGTTTTCCTCCCTAGTGTCCCCTTTCCGCTTAGTCTCCCCTCATGTCTCAATTCAGAACACCAATCGAGTCAAGGTCGGGAATAAAGTCAACACAGAACTCAATGACCTCTTCATTCCATAGCCCTTGGCGATGCTTCCTTCAGGCGAAAACACGGTTGTGAACATATTTCTTCAGACTCCCATGAATCTCTCTAAGGGGAACATGTTGTGTAGGAACACAGGACCGAGAGTGAAAATCTCCTTGACTAGGTGAACTAGGAGGTGTGTCATAATATCAAAGAAGGAAGGAGGAACACCAACTCAAAGTCGACGAGACATTGAACCACATCATTCTATAGTTTAGCTAGATCAGTTGGATCAATTGCCTTACGAGAAATTGCATTGAGGAATGCACATAGCTTCACGGTGGCTAGGCGTACATTTGGAGGTAGAATTCCTCTTAATGCAAGCTGGAAGTAATTGCGTCATGAGAACGTGTGATCATGGGACTTTAAGTTCTGAAATTTCTTCTCGGCACATTTATAATACCCTTTATATTCGAGGAGAATCCAGATGGTACCTTGATGTTGTTTAAGCATTCAAACATGATTTCCTTCTCCTCTTTGCTTAGAGTGTAGCTAGCGGGACGTAAGTAATGGCGTCCATCATACATCTCTCTACGGATGCAGGTTGTCTCTTTCTCTCAAACAACGCAGGTCCTGTCGTGCTTCAAATGTGTCCTTAGACTTTCCATACACACCCATAAAGCCTAGCAGGTTCACACAAAGATTCTTCGTCAGGTGCATCACGTCGATCGAGCTACGGACCTCCAGGACTTGCCAATAGGGTAGGTCCCAAAATATGGACTTCTTCTTCCACATGGGTGCGTGACCGTTAGCGTCTTTCGGAATAGGTTGGCTTCCATGTCCTTTTCCAAAGACGACTTTCACATCATTGACCATATCGAGTACATCCTCACCGGTTCGGTTGCGAGGCTTGGTCAGGTGGTCTGCCTTCCCTTTAAAATGCTTGCCTTTCTTTCTTACGGGGTGATTTGCAGGAAGAAATCGACGATGGCCAAGGTACACGACCTTTCGACATTTTTTCAAGAATACACCTCTAATATCACCAAGCAGCGTGTGTGCATGCATTATATCCCTTGTTTGGTATCACGAAAGATTACTTAGAGCAGGCCAATCATTGATTGTTACGAACAACAATGCTCGCAGATCAAAGTGTTCTGTTTGTACTCATCCCACACACGTACACCTTCTTTATTCCACAAAATGAGAAGTTCGTCAATAAGTGGTCTCGGTACACATCGATGTCATTGCCTGGGTTGCTTCGGGCCTTGGATGAGCACAGGCATCATAATGAACTTCCGCTTTATGCATAACCAAGGAGGAATGTTGTAGATACTTAGAGTAATGAGCCAAGTGCTATGACTACTTATTACGCTCTCCAAAAGGATTGATACCATCTGTACTTAAAGCAAACCTTAAGTTTCTTGCGTCATTTGCAAACTCCGGGAATTCTCTCGTCGATTGCTCTCCTTTGGGACCCATCGCAGGATGTCTCAACATATTGTCTACCTTACGGTCTTCTTTGTGCCATCGTAACAATTTTGCATGTTCTTTGTTTTACGAGCAGACGTTTCAAGCGTGGTATTATAGGAGCATACCACATAACCTTGGCGAGGATTTTCGCGGACGTTCGCCCTCAACATCACGAGGTCATCTCGCTTGATCTTATGCATGACGCATGGCATACCGGGCATGCATCCAATTTCTCGTACTCTTTGCCACAGTGCAGGATGCGATCATTAGGACATGCATGTATCTTCTCTATTTCTAGCTCCATAGGATAGACAACTTGTTTTGCTTCGTAGTAGGTAGTGGCGGGCAATTCATTGTACCGGAAGCATCTTCTTTTGGATTTTAGTAACTCTCCAAATCCCTTTTCGGATACACCATTCTTTGCCTTCCATTTCAGCAATTCTAGTGTGGTTCCCAACTTTTTCTCGCCTGCATCACAAGTTGGGTACAACAATTCTTGTGATCTTCTAGCATCCGCTCGAACTTGATCTTCTCCTTTTCACTTTTACATTCTCTTTGTGCGTCACGAATGACCGACAAAGATCATCGGTGTAAGCTCATCTTCTGCGGCTACCTCTTCTTCGACTTCTTCCATTGCAAAGTATCATTGAAGCACGCACCATCAAGAATAATATCATTGTCGTCCCATTGTTCTTCTTCACCTTCTTCCATTACAACACCGGTTTCTCCGTGCTTTGTCCAACAAATATAGTTTGGCATGAAACCCGACTTGAACAAGTGTGAATGAAGAGTCCTTGAGTAAGGATATTCCACCGTATTCTTACATATGGCACATGGGCAGCACATGAAACCGTCGCGTTTGTTTGCCTCGCCAAGACGTAACAAAGAATGCACGCCGTCAATGAACTCTTGGGGGAGCGGCGATCAGCATTATACATCCAATGACGGCTCATCGCATTACATGACATAAATATCATATTAAAACCTAGATCATAATTAATTATTTATACAACATGCGTGCCACCATAAAAGATACAAATTTATGAAAGCATCGCTACAATGTAGACAATCCCAACTACCACTAAAAGAACTAAAGCTAAAATACATTTCAGGAGCACAAGGATTTGTGACCATTCTCAACTAAAAGCAGACAGATCCCCGATTGTGCAACATCTTTGGGCTTCTTCTGCTGGATCTTTGCCTCATTAGCCGCCAGATTCGCCTGTTGTGCAAGATATTTTTGCACGAGTTCAACATACTCTTCCTCCCAAAGAGAAGCCTGAACATCGCCCACCGCCATCCCAATGAAATTAAAACAAAAATTAGAACTTTAATCACAACCATCATGAAAATAGGTATAAACTAACCATAATCATTAAATACGATAAAATAACTCACATTGCGATCCGGACACTTGTAGAAGATACGATCCTTGTTGGGACCCTCCTTCTTCACTCGATACTCCATCACAATCTTCGTCTCATCACGACACTTGCCGCATGGAATGAGAGGAAGGCCCGGCCTAAGTCGCTTTGGAAACCCATGAGAGGCCGAGGACCCGGAAGCAGTTGCCATCTACTCTCTATACTCATTTTTTAATACACTATAAATTTCTCCTTTTATAAACAAATAAAATTAACAAACTATAAAATTATCTAGATCTCTAAACAATGATATTTTTAATGCTCATTGTGTTCTCGTCTTTTACTACGGCAGGTAAGTAATTCACATGATATTTCCATAAATTAACAGAAGAATGGGAGTGTACACACATAACAGACTACTGCAATGATATCGGGACGTGTGAATAAATAACCATCCGTACTAGTTGACCTTGCTTACGTGATCATCTCGGCGAGCATTTCTCCACCGGACGACACCGTACTTGGCCACGGAAGAGCTCCAATTCTAGGAGGAAGGGAACACGGTCTTCCACGACCGTTGCCGCTCTCCCTCGTAGAATCAAAGCTCCTCCTTGACGTCCGTTACCGCTCGGCAGAGAAGATGCTCGCCGAAATGAACACGGTCCGCTAGTTCAACTAGTACGGATTTTCTATAATTTTCTAACTATTTTCTAAGTTTTTCATTTCATAAAAAGTTAAAATAAAAAGTACGGTGATTGACAGACTACTGCGACGATATCAGGACATGTGAATAAATAACCATCCGTACTAGTTGAACTTGCTTACGTGATCATCTCGGCGAGTATTTCTCCACCGGACGGCACCGTACTTGGTCAAGGAAGAGCTCCGATTCTACGAGGAAGGGAACACGGTCTTCCACGACCGTTGTCGCTCTCCCTCGTAGAATCAAAACTCCTCCTTGACATCCGTTACCGCTCGGCAGAGAACATGCTCGCCGAGCTGAACACGGTCCGCAAGTTCAACTAGTACGGATTTGCTATAATTTTCTAACTATTTTCTAAGTTTATATTTATATATACTTTAACCTTCTTTCATGTAAATATGCAAGCTTGAAGTGATTTTGAACTCAAATTGCTTACAAATGAAAAAAAACCACAATAAAGAACCATAAATATATATAGTGAACAAAATGGCATAAGAAAATGGTAAAAAATGAGAGTACGAGATTGGTAACATTTACAACTGAAGAATCGACGGAGGAATCGAAGAAATCGACGGAAGAATGGATGGAGGAACAATGGAGGGAGGGAGGGAGGAAGCAAGAACACTACTGCAGTAAGCTTCAAAATGTGCTGAGCTCGGGCTCGGGGAGGAAGGAGGAGACGGCCGATTTATAAAGGGAGAACATTTAGTCCCGGTTGGTGGATCCAACCGGGACTAAAGGTAACTTTCTAACCCCGGGCGCAGCCACGGCCCGGGAGTAGACCTTTACTCCTGGTTGAAGCCACCAACCGGGAGTAAAAGTATACCTTTAGTCCCGGTTGGTGGCTCCAACCGGGACTAAAGGTCCCTGCCACCTCTGTCTGGCGCAGTAGCCGTTGGGCAGGGACCTTTAGTCCCGGTTGGATCCTCAACCGGGACTAAAGGTATTTCTAGTCCCGGGGACAAAAAATTCCGGGACTAGAACCCATTTTAACCGAGGATCAAAGATACTAGTGTTCAACTTCACCAGCGGATCTGCTCCTAGGCTCGAGAAGATTGTCTGGTCCTCTAGCACAATGTCTCTCCGGCATCGACGAACTTCTCAGATTGAAGGAGCTCGAGTTCAACGGTGCACAAGTCCCTGATGAGGTGAGGAAGGCCATTGAAAAACATAAGAACAATCCTAGTCTTAAACTTAATGGACCAGAAAAGGAAGACTAAGCAAAAAGAGATGAACAAGAGGACGGCGACGACGCTGCAAGGTAAACAAGCTTGATTCTGGAGAAGCCTCTCCTTTGATCCCATGGTGTGGTTTGTGTCGATTAATTCCTATTTGCCTTTGCTCTGCTTGTCTATTAGTTTCTGTCTGCTGCGCCTGCATGCACGTTTGTGTGCTGCACATGTTTGAACTGAGTGCCTTGTGTTTGTGGTTGAGCATAATGGTTGTGCCTATGCTCACAGATTTACACCGAGTGCCTATGTTTATTGTCTGTATCAACCATCAGGCTACATAGATGGTTTTGTGTAATAAGTGCAATGTTTGTGCACACATTTGACATCTTATTAATGTACCGTTGTGCTATATTATACAGTAATAGCTCATCAATCCTGTGCTCTAGCATTGCTTAAAATATTATCTTTACTTCTTCTGTCTGTTTATTTCCTAACACAATACCCATTTAAGTATAGTATAATCTCTATCTGGTTGTGATAAATTTAGTGAAATGGTGTAATGTGTGCTCAGGATCGTGGTCCCGTGGCTCCAGTGAAATGGATTGATGGACTAGTTCAGTTAACAGGAATACCTTATTTTGTAACACTCAGTTAATTTCATCACTTGCACTGCATCTTACAATACTCAGTTAATTTCATCACTTGCACTGCATCTTACAATTCTCCTGCACAAGCCAAGTATGAACATCAACGATGTCATTGGTACAATAAGAACTGAAATAGGATATGCATCTAGTTTTGACAAGCAAAACAAAGAAAATGTCGAAGTTGTACATTCCACTAGCTTAGATCTCACAGCATGTCTCCCACACGAAACAAGATCATAAAGCATTAGTATGGATGAGCTACTCAAATTTGAGCTAATTTATCGTTGTACATCCTAGCAACTAGCAGAATGATAGAGATCTACTATATATAGGTGAGCAAAGGCATTGGCCAAACAATAACTTCACAAGAAGTTCAGGCAGAGAGCATTCACGTCAGAAATTCAGTCATCTGAAGACAAATTAAAAGAGAGCTGAAGGAAAACAAACAAGGAAGGAGCACCTGCTTCTCTGTAGGACTGTGCAGGCTACAGCCTACAGGACTTGCCGAGTTGGTCGCATGCCCGCTGGCCACGTTTGCGGCTGGCCGCCCCCACTTACGCGCATCCAGCACAGTAGATACTAGCCGCGCCACCGCCCAGGCGGCCACCTCCTTATTCGATTTGCCCCGTGGCTGCGCCGTCGGGCGCCCCCCTCTCCTCGATTTGGCCGCGCACGCGCGCATGCAGGAGCCAGGAGAGCTGGCCGTGACGCCGCCACCTCCTTTCTCGATTTTGCCGCGCTGCCGCCCGCTTGTCGTCTGCCTTGTCGGCGATTTGGCTGCGCCGCCACGGCTGCCGGCTAGGGTTTCGCCTCGCACTCGCTTGTGTGCGGAGGGCGTCAGGGCCTCAGGCGGTAATGCCACGCATGCGAGATGGGGGACGAGCTGCTCGCGGTGATGTTTCTGGACCAGCGCCTCGGCTTCAACTGAAAGTCTGAAATGAAGAACGGAGGGAGGGAGAGGACCGACTCCTCGGCCTGCTTCAAGCTGAAAGGCCTGGGCGTGTGACCGCACTGACCATTGATCTCTCTCCCTCTCTCTACAGCACGAATCTTGATGTAATATTTCTCCACTTAAGTACGTACTTCCTAACTACGGTTGAAAAACCAGGCTGAAGATACTTTTCGCTGATTTGTTTTGAGAGATACTATACTACGACTGATAAGCCAGGCTCACGAGCGAACAAGATATCCACCTGTCATATATCTCAAAACAACATGGATGACTTAGAGAAATCAACTCTCTATTTCACACGTCCACCGTCTCACTCTTCTCCAGCAACTGCTATATTTCAGCCAGCTTCTACGATTTGACATGCTGAGTCGGCATAAGCAAAGTGGTAGTGCTGGCACCCGGATGTTTGGACGCCCGCGTCTACACTCCGCCATGCTGCATTCGCAAGCTCACGCGGGGCCTGCATCACCAAGAAGTCGCCTGCACCGCCAGACCACACGCAAGAACCACTCATGCCCCCTCCGCTTTCCACACGCATGCACAACGGCGCACCAGCAACTGCAGTAGGCGGCTATTGTGGCATGTGGGTCCTATGGCAACATGTGCAGTACCAGATCTACTTTTACAACATCTAGATAAAACACTTGCAATTGCAGCTAAAACACTTGCAAAATACACAAAAACACTTTAAAACCATTGCAAAACATATGCAACATCCAGATACAACACTTGCAACGTATGTATGAAACATATGCAACATCCAGATAAAACACTTCAACATATGTCTGAAAACAGATGAAACATTTGGAACAGACTCTTGTAACATACGTGTATAGTCATTGCAACGTATGCAGCATCCCGACCTACTTTTGCAACATCCATATGAACACACTTGCAACATACCTTTGAAACGTTTAAAACACTTGAAACATACACTTCTAACATGCATGCGCTTTCAGCAAAACCTGGCAGGTGGGCGGGCAAAGTGCTGCATGGTGAGATCTAGCGCTAGGTCACGGTGGGGGGGGGGATGGTAGCGGGCCAGCAGTTGCGCTGCCCCCGGCCATAGGGCGGGTACGGTGCCCCCAGCGAGCAGCACCCGCGGTGGAGGCAGCCACGGCCTCCCACAGCGAGCCCCCCCCGTGCTAGAGAAGGACGTGGTGAGGCGCCCTGCGCTAGAGAAGACGAGCGGCGGGCGGGCGACATGGTGCAACGGTGAGGAACACACGACCGTCTGGGGAAATGTCCTTTTTCCCTCATCCGATGGAACGGACATCCGCACCTGAGGATTTCCGTAAGCAAAGTCACACCTATCATCATATAAGAATATTAAACCGAAATAAGAGTCTGAACCCAAATAGGCGATTCCACCGAAGAAACCAGTTTGCAACGTTATGTTTAAAATAATCGATATAAAAATGTAGCATCGAATAACAACGAAAAATGGAATGGCCCATCACCACCGTATATTAATATACAATAAAAAAAGTGCCAATATGCTTTTGCATCAACAATACATACAATATATCTTGTCCACCAATGCAACCGAACAATTTCAATTACATGGCTGAACAACCGAGAGGAGCAAGTTGCAAGAAACTGTGAAACAGTAGCAGGCCACAGATTAAGAAGGCCCTACGGATGGATGGCGATGGACTTGCTTGAATTATTAGCCGAATCGAGGCCCATCACATATATGCTAACAATGCAGTTGGGCTGGATCCATCAGTTGCTCCACTCCGGGCCAAAGTATCTAGCGTTTGGCCTCCTGGACCTCCTCGCGGCGGGCCGCCCAGCTGAGCCCGAGCCCGAGTCGGCCAGCGCGCCGACGCCGCGCATGAAGGCGACGTACTCCTCGGCACGCGCTTCCAGCGCCACCGCGCTGACGGCCAACCTCCGATGCGCCTCCGCCACCGCCTCCCCGCCGGGCCTCGCCGCGAACTCGGCCGCCATCCGCGTGAACGTCTCCACCGATCCCGCCGCCTTGGCGAGTACCTCGAGCCCGAGCGCCTCCCCGCGCGCTGCGATGGCCTTCCACTCCGGGTCCCCCGGTGTGAGCTCCCCCGACGCGAGGCTCTCGGCCGTGGCTAGCATGAACAGGCGCATCACCTCGTCCTGCTTCGCGTCCACCGCCTCGGTCTTCGACAGCAGCTGCAGCAGCTCCTCGAACGCCATGGATGTGATGGCGGTGGACTTGCGTGGTTGTGTTGGACGAGAACCCGGGGCCTTTGGTCGCCTTTTATAGACAGAGACAGGCGAAACTAACTGCAATGCCGTATGCGAGCCGAACTCGGATAGTCGGATTCCGAATCACAGCCGGCGCGGCCACGGCTCCACGCCACGCGGCCACCCGTCCGCCCCCGGTTCCCAGAGTCCCCGCCGCCTGACACGCGCACGCTGACTCGCTCCTTGCTACGCCTCCCTCTCTCTCGCGTCGTGGATAAGTGGAACCGTCGGCGGCGGCAACACCTTGTTCAGTTCATAGTCTCCTCCTTACTCAAGTCACTGCCCTCTTCTCCACGGAGCCAGCCAGCCCCTCGATCAACTGCAGGCAGACTCCATCGCTGGCCGTGAGTCGCTGGCGTCGGCGCCTTATCTCCCCTCAAGCCTGCCGCCTGTCGGATTCACCGCAGCCGGCTTTCTCCCGGGTCCGGGTGAGTTCAGCTCCAATCTCCTTTCCGTCCTGATTTTTCGTGCTCCTCCAATCTCTGCGTCTTCCCTTCTCCCTCCACTCTGCAGTAAATCTGCTCCTCTGATTTTGGAGGCACCTCTGTGCAAGCACGCACAACGGAGTGTAAATTCTATATTTTTCTTCCATATATACTTGTGTCTGGACCTACACGGACACACAACTTTCCAAATTCCTCTATCCATCCAATCACTGCTTGTAAACCATGGGAAATTGTCCGAGGGACAGAATACCATATTCCTTTAACCAGTTTGCTTAGCAGAATCAGTGAGGTTCACAATCACTGGACCATATATCGTCAAATGACAGTAGATCAGAACCAAACTAGTACGCTCAACCAGTTTCATGTGCTTATCAATGAATTCTCTGACCCAATGTGATATACATTCCGAGTTTTATGCTGAAGAAGTTAACATGCAATCCCTCATGCTCATGTATCATCATAATTCTAATTCTAATGTCTCTTTACCAGGTACAAAATTTATGATGAAGTATACGCTCTCAGAACTGACGTATCCACACATTTTACTTCCCACCGTCAGGTGGGGTCTTGGGCTTCCGTACGACCTTGATGCTCAACAATCTGATCAACCAGCTGATTCTTTTCCTGGTCAAGCTCAGTCAAATATTGCCATGCGGACTCAAGAAGTCTTTTTCCCTTGGCTTTTGTTGGTTGGGGAAGAACTTCTCTTAGAGCTTCAGCTCCATCTTTTGCTTGTTGTATTGCTGGTACAACTGCAGCTACACTGATCTTTCAAGT